CCCCCCCCCATTTCCCAGAGCTGGAATGCCACAAGTCAGCTGTTGGCAGCACTCCAGCTCTGGGCAGGAGAGGGAGGAGCAGGGAAGTGCAGGGCTCTGATGCCCCAGTGCGCGAGTGGCATGTGGGGATGGGGGAGACGTGGGGCTGCAGTTGGAACGCCAGTAGGCCACGGGCTGCTGGGGCCCACTGAGCTGAAGGAGGGCCACCCATGCAGCCCATGCATCTTTTGTGGTTGCCCATCCTGGTCCAAGCAGCTTTCATTTCTATATCTGTCTAAACCCCTACAGCACTTGGGCTGAACACCTGCCCAAATAAGGCCAGAGGAGAGACCAGCCTGCTGCACTGTAATAAAACCATGGACTGCGTTCAATATCCGGATATCAGTGGCTCATTAGCTTCCTCCCAACTCAAAGTACTGCTCGGCATGCCTAAAGGTGGAGAATCTCGTGCACAGCCCCCGAATCCACTCCGTACGTGTCTGTGCTCAGCACTCCAGGAGCAAAGCGGACCCTGGAGGAAGGTGATTCATCACACACAGATGGATTAGCGGTCAAATTAAAATCCATACCTCCGTAAGGTCTGGAAAGATTCCAGCTCCTAACCACAAGATACAACCCTCTAGGTTTACGTGCTTGGATTAAAATTAACTTTGATCTGAGCCCTAAGCTATGGCTGTTAGGAACAAATACAACAAAGGCGAGAGAACAGCCATAGCACTCTCGTTACAAGAGGGCTTCTCAACACACAGCCAGAGGGCCGCATGCGGCTCGTGGCCCATTTCTTTGTGGCCCGGGGTGTGGTTTGGGTTTACGCGGGGTTCAACATGTGGCTCACAGGTGGGAGCCAAAACAAAAAGTAGTTAAATTCCTGGACTATCATTGCTCATTAAAAGTGCTGTCATATGGGTGGAAATTGGGTAAATATTGCATTTTTATTAGTATCAGTAGAACTGACTTAAATGGGGCCTGCGTGTTGTGTAGTCTTGCCTTAATCTTTGTATTCATGCCTGTCAGTGTGAAAGAAGTGATTTGCATGTATATTTGGATGCCTATGCAACACACTTACGTTGTGGCCCTCGGCATGTGCTGTGAGTATCATTGTGGCTCCCGGGGCTTCCAAAGTTGAGTAGCCCTGCCTTAGAAGGTGGACGGCATCATCGTAAGAGCTACCACTGCCTTGCAGAGCCCAGGCACATGGCAGCTTGTGTGCAAAGAATGGAGATTCCAGCGGGGCTCCTCCCTCAGCTGTCCATCCTGCAAACTGCCTAGAGTTTGGTAGCGAAGTGTCCTGCTGGAACACACCACCGCTGGCTTGTAAAGCAGGGAGAGGGAGAGGGAGCAGTGTGCACAGGTGCCCTGGCCGGTGTTACTGGAAGATGATGAGGGACTAATGACCCTGGCATGGATGTGGGCAGGGTGAGGAGGGATGAACGAGTCTGGTTCAAGTGGCGATGCTGCTGGTGTGAGCATTGCTTCAACACCCACTGACGTCATTCCACTGATTTCAAAGGGGGAACGGAACAGGCTCTGGTCCTGCTTTAATTCTGCCTGACTCTCTCACTGCCAATCCGCAAGTCAATACTGGAACCCATCACAGGCCTGACGCAGAGGGCTGTTCTGCGGTTGCTGCTGCAGCTGACCATCGGCCAGCACTAGGGGGCAGCCATAGAGAATATGAGGATCCCCTAGCCCTTCCGATTATCAGAGTATAACCAGAGGGTGCTTGCTCAGGGACTGAGCTCTCACCAGGGTGACTTGATAGCGCAGCACCTTGTGGTCGTTCTCTAGCATCTTGAGATAGTTTTTCCTGGGGGGCTTGGGCAGCAGGGAGAAGCAGTTCTGCATGGAGTCGTCAAGGAAGCCGAAGCCGTTGTAGGGAGGAATGAACTGCACACAGAAGAGACAGGAAGCACAGGCGGTTACATCTACTGACAAGACGGGGGTCACGGCAACCATTCTCGGCAGCAAGAGTTGTGCCAAAGGCTGGACACCTTCCCCCAAGGCCGTGCCAGCTCTCCCAAAGCTGAGACGTACAGCCAGGCAGCAGGGGCCGAGTGCTCAGCTGCTGGCAGTGGGGCCAAGAGCCATGGCCGCAGGGCAAGGTGTGGGGGGAGGGGGCCAGATTCTCACCCCTGGAAGGGGTGGGGCCTCAGGCAGGCAGAAGGGGCGGGACCAGGGCAGCCAGCCCTCAGACGTCAGAGCCATACAGAATGACACTCCAGCAGCAATTCAAAAGGACCCTGGCCCCTTTGAATCTCCAGGCCCCAGGGGTAACTGCCCCTTTGCCCCCACCCCAATCGGCAGGCCTAGCTGCTGGAAATCAACAGGCCTCCCACAACTTCCATTACAGCAGCTGGCTCTACCTTTGGAAAAGTGGCTCTGGAAGAACAAGGCCAGAGTTCAAGACCAGGAGGAGAAGCAGGTCCCAGGGCTGCAGTGTGACCTCCTGTCTCCACTCAGTCCCCCTAGCCACGGCAACAACCAGCATTAGACCAAAGTATACTGGCCAGGCAGAGAATGGGAGGGGCTGAGATGTCCCAATCCCTGAAGGCCCCAGCAATGGCAGAGCATTGTGGGGCTTGAGGTTCATAAGAACAGCCATCCTGGGTCAGACCAAAGGTCCATCTAGCCCAGTATCCTGTCTGCCGACAGTGGCCAGCACCAGGTGCCCCAGAGAGGGTGGACCGAAGAC